AAGTGAGGGAATGTAGTGTATTACGAGTCAGGATGAGTCGGCATTCTGTCCTCAGAGACACTGAACTCACTATATGGTAATTAAACCCCCTGTGCTAATTACTCTCTTTCCTGAGAAAGACAGACTTTGCATCTCCAAAAGGGTCTATATCAAAGAGAAAGCTCTGATGCTTTCTACTAGTTAATCAACTCAGAACCTGCCTTCAGCAGTTGAACAGAACTCTACCATACCCTGAGGACATAAGACGTGTTAGTTCTATAGTAACACTCTGGTCACAGGATGGTATACTTCATCCGAGAGCGGGTGCCTCAGAGAAGATGAGGAAATATGTGGTGCTTTGTCTAACGGAATCATGGATTAATAATGACATGCCTGACTCAGCCTTCCAGCTGGATGACAGACCCTTTTTTCAAGTGGACCGCTGCAGCGAGGTAATGGGGAAATTGAGGGGAGGTGAAGTATGCATTTATGTGAGTAAAAGCTGGTGCACAAACTGTACGCTGATAAACTGTCATTGCTCCAAGGCTTTAGAGTAGTTAAAAGTGAAATGCCGACCACATTATCTACCCCGCAAGTTCACAGTCATGTTTATAACAGCTGTTTACATAGCTCCGGATGCCAATGCTATGACGCCCTGCAGGACCTGCATGATCATTTCAGCTCGCTGCAAAGCAAACATCCTGAGGCTCTTTACGTGGTGGCTAGAAACTTTTATCACGTAAATCTAAAAGACTGCCTACCAAGATTTTACCAGCATGTGGCCACACTAGCATGTGGAAACAACACACTGGACTGTGGTTACACTAACGTAAAAGATGCATACAAAGCCAAACCCCACCCCCACCTAGGACTATGTGATCATATCTCCATCTTTCTGGCTCCTGCTTACCTAAGCTCTGTTAAAGGCCGTCTACTGCATGGGGAAACACTTCTGCCAAGCCCCGCCTATCACCTGGAGATGACGCCACCACGCCCATGCCCTAAGATAACCTTGCCATCAAGCCCCGCCCAAAAGCCAGCTACGCATGGGGACTGTCCGCTGTCACCGATGTTGTGAACCAGGGCACATAGCATGGAACTGCTTGACACCAGCCCTGAAGGCCAAGAAACAGCTGCTAGGAAAGGCCCTTGGAGTGGTGTAGAAAGGGGAATACCATTCCAGTTCTTAATGCCCCCTTAATGCAGGCAGGCCTCCAGGAGAAAAGGGATACATACAGAGGATATGCAGTGGAATGTTGGGCTATCCAGCCACCGACCAGTGAAGTCCCCATGCTGGAGCTGGCCACTCCAAAACCCCTTGCAAACGAAGCTGCTGTAGCTGATCTTTTTTTTTTCTCCCAGGCTCTCATCGAGGTGGCAGTTTCTGTTATTTCCTCCCCCGTTTTTCCTTCTTCCTGCACTGCTCTCTGTGTGTCTGAAGCGCCTGGGTCTCATCTCCCGAACATAAATTAAGAAGATTATAGATTTGGTATTGTGGGCGTTCAACTCTATTGATAAGATTTTTTCATCAAAGTGACAAGGTCCTGGAGAACCAGCGTGTCCTGCTGAAACTCATGCTGTGGGGTACGTCATGGATTTGTGGGGAGTGTGCAAGATGATGTGTCTCTCAGTCCTGTCTCATGAGGATGTTGAAGACGTTTATATATTTGGAATTATGATAGCAGGGACTCTGCTTTTTGGCAACAGCGGGGCTCTGTTTTATTGACTTTTGAAGCAGACGGCGGCAGCAGTTTCGACCATGGTAAAGCTTCCGAGTCAATGTGAATGTCTGGTCCATGTTGTGGGAACTTTGAATCGTCTGGTTTACGAGCTTAACCGTAAGGTGGAGGCGATTGAGAATCGCAGGCCACTTGCGACTTCTGGGACTCGTTAGCGTGGTGTGTTCAACCTTCAAGGAGACTCATAGCATGGATCAGTGGAATGGAATCCCACAATTAGGCATTTTCGGAACCAGAACGCCCAGATGTATTCAAGGCTGAAGAGAAAGTAATCTGTCTGCCTGAAGAAAAAACAAGAATCAAGCTCATCTAAATCTGACTCTTGATGGCCTCGGAGACAGGCCGACTATCAATTTCTCCTGGGACATGAGTACCCAAGGACAAAAGTTTCATCTATCGCGCACTTGTTCAGCACTCCATTGACACTAGATCAGCACGGCCCATCCGCCTACGCCCCCACTGGCTAGCATGGATCAGTGGAATAGCCTTAGCCAAAAGACAGGTGGCGGAGTACATGATTTGTCAAATGCAGGCCACAGGAGTTATTGAGCCATCTGACAGCCCATGGGCTGCACCTGTGGTCCTGGTGCAAAAGAAGAGGGGCGGATGACGGTTTTGTGTGGATTACTGTTGCCTCAATGCCATCACTAAGAATGATTCATACCCCCACCACGAATCGATGATGCTCTCAACCAGATCAGTGGGTCTAGTTGACTTAGCTCCCTTGACATGCGGAGTGGCTACTGGCAAGTAGAGCTTGACTCTGATGCTAAGCCAAAGACTGCCTTTACCTTGGGACATGGACTGTGGCAATTTTGTGTGATGCCGTTCGGCCTCTGCAATGCACCGGCCAACTTTGAGCGCCTTATGGAGAGGGTGCTGGTGGATGTCCCCCACAACCACTGTGTGGTGTACCTTGATGACTTGCTAGTGCACGCCAGTAATTTTGACCATGCTCTAGTTCACCTGAGAGAGGTTTTTGGTGTCATTCGCCAAGCTGGACTCTGGCTGAACCTGGCCAAGTGCAACCTGTTACGACGAGAAACATCAATTCTGGGCCATGTGGTCAGCACCCAGGGAGTTACCATCGAACCCACCAAGGTAAATGCAGTCCAAAACTGGCTGACTCTATCCAGTGTTCGAGAGCTCCGAAGATTCTTAGGCCTGGCTTCCTACTACCAACAGTTTGTCAGGAATTTTGCCTCTGTCGCCAGCCCTCTCCACCAGCTGACTGACAACGGCCGCCTGTTTGTATGGAGTAGCAGTTATGCCCAAGCCTTTGAGCATCTCAAAGCAGCTCTCACATCAGCTTCAATACTGGCTTACCCCCAAGAACAGCTGCCCTTCATTGTGGACACAGATGTTAGCAATGAAGGAATCGGGGCAATCCTCTCCCAGAAGGGTGGAGGAGGTGAATGTGACCAGTTGTAGTCGTGCAATGGAGGTCTGACTGATACCAAACAGGAGTGAATTGCAGTAATCAAGCCTAGATGTAATGAATGCATGTATTACTGTCTCCAGGTTATTTTTGGACAATATGGGCTTCAGTTTAGACAGTCGCCTCAGTTGGAAGAAACATGATTAAACAATTATGTTTACATGATTGTTAAGTTTCAGGGAAGGGTCCATTATCACACCCAGATTAGTGACTCTTTGTTTTTCTGACAGGGTTAGAGTGGAAAGGTTGAATGGTAGGTTTTTTTGATGCCTCAAATCTTGCCCTGTCTAGGACAAGGTGTAAGAGATCTTTTTTATAGTCTCTCCTCATGTTTTCTTCCCTTTTCTCATCAAAGCAAAAATATTATTTTGAACAAGAGGGCCACACTTTTAAAGTAGCAGCTTTGTTCACTCCACCCATCTTTCGGACGACTGTACGTACATGTTCTCGTATCTCGGTGCAAAGATAATAAGCTTATTCTGATCCTTCAGTTTTCGCATTATATCCTTTGTGGTAATGAGTGAGGACTCTCCTGGTAGAATAAAACATCTTCCTCCTGATGAAAGGGAACGACTCTCAGTGCCAATGAAGTTTTTAGAAACTTTAGTTTACTTTACAAATTGAAGAGTTTACCTAAATTTTAACATTAGTCTTAAATTTGAATAACATCTCTTCTCAAAGTTAAAACTATTTACATCATTCACTTTCTGAAATACTATTGGTTTATGCACTCATATTTCATACTTCCCATAATTCCATAACTGAAAATAAACCTTACAGATTTTAACCGAATGGGCTTTGTGTTTTTTATTCAATTGAGGGGGATCACAACATTGCCAATAATTCACTATAATTTTTAATCAAGGTCGGTCCAAATTTATTTGACAACTTTTGAACAGTTAGGGTAAACATCTGTTAAAAGGTGTATTGTTGGTTCCAACTACTTATTCCTCTACTAAGGTAAGAAATGATCCTGCACTTAATAAACTTATAAATCACACGTAAAGCGTTTAAAAGTAAATTATAAATATGAACTGGCTTCAGTGGTGATTTTAGCCTCTTTTTGGGGGTGCTCAAGCACCCCTAAATTTTATTTCAGCACCTCTGAAAAATAAACCATAATTAGTTGAGCATGCATCAGGAAACCATAATTAGGATTTTGCAAGGAAACTCTGTTCTCAAACCTTAGATTCACCAAAATATTAAATAAATTTGGAATAAATGATGACAGTCTTAAACAGGCCAGTAAAATCTTTTTTTTTTTCCAGTAGTCGAATCTTTGACCCAACTGTCAATCTAGTAGGCACGCCAGCAACTGACCAATCAGTGACCTCAGTTTGTCCTGAAGTTGACACCCCTTGCCTGCAGAGCTGCAGCTTTGCACTCATAGAGGTTTCAATAATGAGTTTACATTTTTTGTTTCATGTTAATCTCCTATACACCAGAATGCAGGAAATGGCATCTACTTTATTCAAAATTCTCTGGGGGAGGACCTGGAGAACCCCCCCCCCCCCGGCATTCCAGCATCATTTGGTTTACAAATTAAGCCCTGTGTACATCTCATTGAGTATGTATAAATAATACACTATATTATTTTAATAATTATACAATAGGTCATTATAAATAATTATGGTATTTTTTGACACTATAATTGAAAATATAAGATACCAAACCACTTCCTGAAGTAGTTTCAGGACAAAAGACTGCAAATGAGGCTCACCGATACTTCCACCTTTTCACACCAGTACTTTGTCTTAGAGATAAACAAGAATAAATTCTCTATATACAATAAAAGTGATCTAATTTCACATTATCATCAGTAATGGACACACAGCCTGCGTAAAAGCCTTCAGTGTTTTTATTTATTTCATTGACAAGCAGCAAGATCATGTTTGTCACTCTTTTTTTACATTTGAAAGTAGATAATAGCCAGTATAGCAGTTTTATTACAATATTTTTCCTAATATCAGTACACTTAAAGAAAATAACACACAACTGCAAACGTGAGAAAAGAAAGCTCGTGTATTTTACCTGTCGCCACCAGTGTCACTGATGTCTTGCGCTTTTCTGTCTGGATTCTTTTTCCCCTCCATCAGCTCTTTCTTCTCCAACAACAAGAGGCATTTTCTTTTTTGACGTTTGACGCACAAGTGCGTGGCACTGGTGATGTTGTAAACAGTTTAAAAACCAGGATGAAATGGGTCTTCTGGGTGGAGTCAGCAGGCGGTCCGACATGACACGATGACGTTTATTCAGAGATGGAGGCATGAGTCCTGCTTTAGTCACCGCATAGGATCACAGCAGACACTGACAGTCCAGAACCTAAATGGGTAATTGGGACCGGTTTATGGTTTGTTTCTGGCCTGTTAGTCACACAGGTGAGTCTGTTAGGAAGTGCTGCCTCGCTCGGCTCCTCCGCCTACGCCACATAGCTGTATTCGTCAGCCGAGGTCTGGCTCCGCTCGATGTACTGCTTATCGATGAGCACCTCGATGCATTTCTTGATCATGCTGATACTGGGGTTGAACCTGGCTTTGGACTGATTAATGACCTGGAAACAAGACAATAAGAAATCATTTGTCAACACAAGCTTGATCTGACAACAACTAGTGTGACCAGTTCAATTCAGTTTATTTATATAGCGCCAATTCACAACAAAGTTGTCTCAGGGCACTGAACAGGAACAGAATAACAGAAGAAACAGAAAATGTTGTTATCAATAAAATAAGACATTTCTTTATGTATTTTCCTACTTGTAAATACTCAGTTTATCAACAGGTTCAATTAAGGACAAAATATCAAATACATTTCATATTTTCACATTGCATTGTTAATTACTATAAATGATTTTATTGCAGGAAACAGCTTAGAATTGTAAGCATTGTTTTGCCATTTGAATTTAACAAGAAAAGCACCTAAACAATTATTTGTTTACTCGAAATTATACCAAAGGTGTGTCTCAGTCTAACATTTGCTTAATAAATGTACTGTAATGGTCAAATTAGCTGCATTTTGCTAGGGCGGTGCAGCTGTTTTGACGGTTCCAAGCAGCGAGAAGAATGATGGTGGGGAGACTATGGCAGGCCGATTGAGTCATTAATAGCTGGTGAAGATTCTCAGTTATCCAGGACAAGGTAAATTCAAAAAATTTCAAGACAAAAACAATAAAGTATAAATTATCGAGCATGTTTTTTTTTTGGTTTTGAACAAGTTTGACATGACTGTCGATGAGGAAGAGGGCCGGCACCACAGGAGGGAGCTTGCCAAAGACACCAACTTAGCACCAACATAACTGGTTTGTTCCACTTTGGAGTAAGCTGTTTGGGGGAAGAATCAGTTTTGTGTTGTGTTTCCTTGACTGATGAAGCCTTCCGGATGGAAGATAAAACATTTCAGAAAAAAAAAAAGAAAAAAAAAAAAAAAGAAACTGTCCAGATGACCTGACTGAAAATTGTTTGATTGTATACCTGAATTATTGAGCATGGACTTTTTTTTGGTTTTAATAAAGTATAAAGTATAATAAATAAAGTCCAGGTGTTTTTGTCTTGAACTTTTATGATTTTGTCATTTTAGCCACATTTATCTATTACATGATACAACAGTATGCCATACTGCTATTACTATCCTTCTGCCATCTAGTGGATGAAAGTGGCATTGCTCAATTTTAGTTTTTTTTTTTTTCAGTCAGAATGAATGGAAACAGTCATATCTCAGCCAAAAAAATGGTTTGTAAATATGGAAAAAAATCCATAAAGATGTCGCTTCGGCCTATAAGTTGCAGGGCATGTAAATTATGCAAAAAACTGTGACTTATACGCCGGAAAATACGGTATTTTGTCCAGCCATAAATTTAAAAATAGTAATTGTCCAACATACAGCTGTGCTCAATTTATTTAACTATAGATGAAATAAACATTTATTTATTTTGTTTCATTCTCCAGAGGTAATGCTTGATCTACAGCACAGAGCAGACATAGTTAATTTGTTTCTTTGGGTGTTCTGCTGGTAAACTCATGAACTGCAGCAGCAGTTAATATAAAATCGCTGTCAGTTTATTAGAAAGGGTTATATTTATGTACAGACCAAACATTGTAAATGATGTCAAACTATAAAGCACCATTGTAATTTAACAGGCTTAGTTTGAGTGTTCCCGCTCCACAGTACCATTAAAACTAGTCTAAAGATGGAGACGGACTCCAGAACATCCAGGCACAGTGCACGTTGTGTTGTCAGCTGAGTAGGAGCTCAGCCTTCACTCCAGATCCGCTCCAACATGATCCCCGAGGATTAGACTGTCATTCCAAACATCCTTCGCTAACAAAACACTCTTAGCTCACCTGCAGGGAATGTAACATTCAAACACACCCCTACACACCTGCTCCATTTACAGTACTTTCTACTACAAACACCACCGGATGCCACGGTACTTTATGGATTTATTAAAGTCAATATTTTAACGCTCAAGGCGTCACTTTGTACTGCAGACGTCAACAACAGTCCTTGCACATTATCATCTTTCATTTCACCTGAATCCTTTTGACATAGACCTCAGTAAAAAGATAATAAAGCTCACTCTGAGTGGTGTGTAGCCCACATTACGTTCCCTGAGCGCAACAACAAAATGTGTGGAAACGTTTCCACCCACCTCCTGGATGAGGGCGTTGTGTCGCAGCACCTTGCGGGCCTTCATGATTCTCACTATAGCAGCTTGTAAATACATTTTGCGGTCCTCATCTACGGCGCTCCTCGTCTGCTCCATCTCCTAAACTCCACACACACATTGGGATTAGGATGACAGCTGAGCATGAAGAGAAGCTGACACATCCAGATGTTGGCCGTCTGACCTGAGGTGTGTCTTTCTGCATCGATGTAGTAATCTTGAACTTTGTTCTTTTACTGCTGAAACTCATATTTAGTGAAAACGTAGACTCTGTTTCAATCTCCTCCTGTGGGCAAAGACATGGTTTAATAGATGTTCTGTCTGTTTTCACAACATGAACACAACACAGATTCTCCACAAATGCTCAGACTTTTTGTGAATCGTGGTTGAGCATCTTGACGTCCAGCAGTGACTTGATGGTCTTCTGCAGCTCCTTCTCGTTCATCTGGGTGCCGTCCTGCAGCTCCTTGTACGTCACCGTCTGACTGTTGTTGAAGGCTAACAGAACAGCCATCTGATACGTGGTCACCATGGCAACATAAGGCTTGGACAGGTAGTTCATTTTAACGTCACCTATGAGAAAAAATAATGTTGAAAATGTGAACCTGCTTATTAAAAATACTGTTTCACAACGTAAAAAAAAAAGAAAAATCTTAATGATTTTCTTGTGCAATGTAAAAAAAAATCTATATTTTAGATATATTTTTTAAATTAACTAAGCTAAGGGGTGGATGAGATTCACCCGGAGTTCCTTAAGGCTCTGGATGTTGTAGGGTTGTGTTGGCTTACGCGACTCTGCAATATTGCATGGACATCGGGGGAAGTTCCCCTGAATAGGCAGATCGGGGTGGTGGTCCCCCTATTCAAAAAGGGGGACCGTAGAGTGTGTTCCAACTACAGGGGGATCACGCTCTTAAGCCTCCCTGGTAAGGTCTATTTGGGGGTTCTGGAGAGGAGGGTCCATCGGATAGTCGAACCTCGGATTCAGGAGGAACAGTGCGGTTTTCGTCCTGGTCGTGGAACACTGGACCAGCTCTACACTCTCAGCAGGGTCCTGGAGGGTGCGTGGGAGTTTGCCCAACCGGTCTACATGTGCTTTGTGGACTTGGAGAAGGCGTTCGACCGCGTCCCTCAGGGAACCCTGTGGGGGGTAGTCTGGGAGTATGGGGTACCGGGCCCTTTGATACGGGCTGTTAGGTCCCTGTATGACTGGTGTCAGAGCCTGGTCTGCATTGCCGGCAGTAAGTTGGGCTTGTTCCCGGTGAGAGTTGGACTCCGCCAAGGTTGCCCTTTGTCACCGATTCTGTTCATAACTTTTATGGACAGAATTTCTAGGCGCAGCCAAGGTGCTGAGGGGATCTGTTTTGGTGGCCTTAGGATTGCTTCTTTGTTTTTTGCAGATGATGTGGTCCTATTGGCTTCATCAGATTGTGATCTACAGCTTTCGCCGGAGTGGTTTGCAGCCGAGTGCGACACGGCCGAGATGAAGATCAGTTCCTCCAAATCCGAGGCCATGGTCTTGAGCCGGAAAAGGGTAGAGTTCCCTCTCCGAGTCAGGGAGGAGGTCCTGCCCCAAGTGGAGGAGTTCAAGTATCTTGGAGTCTTGTTCACAAATGAGGGAAAAATGGAGTGTGAGATCGATAGGCGGATAGGTGCAGCATCTGCAGTGAAGCGGGCGCTGTACAGGTCTGTCGTGGTGAAGGGAGAGCTGAGTCAAAAGGCGAAGCTCTCAATTTACCAGTCAATGTACGTTCCAACCCTCATCTATGGTCATGAGCTTTAGGTTGTGACTGAAAGAACGAGATCTCGGATACAAGCGGCCGAAATTAGTTTTCTCCGCAGGGTGTCTGAGCTCTCCCTTAGAGATAGGGTGAGAAGCTCGATCATCCGGGAGGGACTCAAAGTAGAGCCGCTGCTTCTCCATGTAGAGAGGAGCCAGTCGAGGTGGCTCAGGCATCTGGTTAGGATGCCTACTGGACGCCTCCCTGGTGAGGTGTTCCGAACACGTCCCACCAGGAGGAGACCCAGAGGAAGACCCAGGACACGCTGGAGGGACTATGTTTCTCGGCTGGCCTGGGAATGCCTCGGGATTCCCCCGGAGGAGCTGGACCAAGTGGCTGGGGAGAGGGAAGTCTGGGCCTCCCTACTTAGGCTGCTACCCCCGCGACCCGACCCCGGATAAGCGGAAGAAAATGGATGGATGGATGGATAACTAAGCTAAAGTTTTACCACACCAGCTAATTAAACGTTTAATACATTTTATATACATTTCCATGTCATTTTAACACTTTAAAAGAACTGTAATGTGTCAGTTTTAACTTGGACAGATAAAAAATATATTTCTCCAAATTAATTATTTGTATGTACCGTAATTTCCAGACTATAAGCCGCTACTTTTTCACAGTTGGGGTTCGAATCCACCAGCAGTCACATGCCGAAGTGTCAATGGGAACCCCTCATAGCCTCTGATGTGTGTCCCATCAGTGTATGAATGTGATCTAAAGTTCTGATTATTCTTTTTAGAATGATTTGTTCAATTAGCTTTGTAGAGATCTAGAAGAGTGCTATATGAATGGGTAAATGAGGACACAGATTGTTGTGTAAAGCGCTTTGAGTATCTTGATTAGAATGAAAGGCGCTATATAAGTACAGTCCATTTACTTTTTTCCACACACTTACTGTGGCTACTTTATGAAAAAAAAAAAAAGTTTTTGATGGGCTTACAAGCTTCCTGCCACCAAAACATTTAGCCTCGTGACACCGGAGCGCTCACATAGCTGCCCAAGACACATCTCTCTTGGGGAGTGGGTCCTCATGACTCAATGAGAATATATGTATAGAATATATAAATAATGTATAAATAAAGGTTAAAAAAAAATCTGCCCAATGAAATTACAGAACACATCACAGTGGACGAGTGAAACCAAGTTTCTCCCATTCTCCCCTCCACGTTGTGCTCCCAGGGAGGGGTGCACAGTGTGCAGGAGGAAGATGAAGATAGTGATCAATGACTTCCTGGTATGTTACTGTATTTATTTTAACCAGCTTTGTTACCGGCACTGTTCAGGAAAAAGCATTTACTGTACATATTTGTGGATGTTACAGTACGTATTGTGGCATTCTGCTGTGGTTGACTGCTGGTCACATGGCCTCAGGGAGGGATTATGGGTAGAACTTATGTTCCTGCGGGATCAATAAAGTTCTCTCTTATCTTGGTGATTAGTCTGTTCTTAGCATAGTTTTTGTGTTTATTATGTGCTAGTTTGTGTTAGGCCAGGGCTATTCAACTGGTGTCCCATGGGCCAAATCAGGCCCATGGAGGAGCTCAGTTCGGCCCACCAGTGGGTTCATTTTTAAATAAAACTACATTTTAAACCATATAACAAACATCAAAGTTCATGCTCAATCATCCAGGTGCAAAATCCAATAATGGTCAATCAGGTCATCTGGACTGTTTCTTTTTTGTGGAAAGACGTTTCGCCCTCTATCCAGAGGGGCTCATCAGTCTGAGGAGTCCCAAGTACAGTATTTTTCGCCCTATAAGTTGCGGGTTTTTGCATAATTTGAATACCTTGACTTATACGCCGAAGCGACGTATTTAAGGATTTTTTTCCCCATATTTATAAACCAATTTTCGGATGAGATATAACCGTTTTTATTCATTCTGACTGAAAATATTGAACAATACAATTTTCAGCCACTAGATGGCACTCGAATAGTATGGCGTGCTGTTGTGTCATGTATAAGGTAAAAGTGGCTATTAATGACACAATCGGCTTGCCATAGTCTGCCACAGTCGTCCAGCTCACTTGGAGCAACGGTCAAATCAGCTTCATTTCGCTGCACCGCCCAGGCTAAATGCAGCTAATTTGACAATTGAAGTGCATTTATTAAGTAAAAGTTCAACTGAGACACACCTATACTATAATGTCGAGCAAACAAATAATTGTTTTTAGGTAGTTATCTTGATAAATTTCAATGATATGCGCAGCGACTCGTCCATCTGCGCGTTCCTACTTCCGCATATTGGCTTTTGAAATGCAGCTGATTTGACTGTAAAAATTGCATTTATTAAGGAAAAGTTAAACTGAGATACACCTTTACTATAATTTTGAGTAAACAAATAATTGTTTTTAAGTGTTATTCTTGTTAATAAATTCCTTCCATGCACAGTCCCACGGCCGCCATTTGGCAGCCAATCGATTTTTGGCACAACACCGGCCCACGTTTTCGGGTTGTCAGTGGTGACACGTAACAAACGCGACGCGTCAGCAGTGACACATAATAGATACGACGTATACAGCAAAGTGACATATTTATGGATATTTCCACTTTATTAGACATATTTGGACTGATGGTACACGCTCTATTCAACCACTGCTCGACTGCCTGGCTGACATCAGGGACTGGATGGCTTTCAACTTCTTAAGTTTCAATGAAAAGAAGTCTGAAGTCATGTTGTTCCCTCCCAACGACACGATCACAAACCACTGCATCGACCTCTCCGCTCTAACCCTGTCAGAAAAACAAAGAGTCACTAATCTGGGTGTGATAATGGACCCTTCCCTGAAACTTAACAATAATGTAAACATGATTGTTAAATCATGTTTCTTCCAACAGAGGCGGCTGTCTAAACTGAAGCCCATATGTCCAAAAATAACCTGGAGACAGTAATACATGCATTCATTACATCTAGGCTTGATTACTGCAATTCACTCCTGTTTGGTATCAGTCAGACCTCCATTGCACGACTACAACTTGTCCAGAATGCAGCAGCCCGATTTTTAACCAGTACAGGCAAAAGAGAGCACATTACACCAGTTTTGGCCTCACTGCACTGGTTACCGGTTCACTTTCGAATCCAGTTCAAAATACTCCTTTATGTCTACAAATCACTGAACAGTCCCCCCCCCCCCCCAATCTCTCTGATCTGCTACAACCGTATGTCCAGCCGCGTTCCCTGAGGTCAGCGGACCAGTTGCTCCTCACAGTTCCAGGATCTTGTCTTAAGCGCAGAGGTGACAGGGCCTTCTTTGTAGCAGGACCAAGACTTTGGAACGAGTTACCTCTGCTTGTCAGACAGGCCCCCTCCCCCTCGGTTTTCAAGTCCCGTTTAAAAACCCACTACTATTCGGTGGCTTTCAACACCAGATGATCTGTGTTTTGATCCTGTATGTTCCACACTGGTTTGTCGTCATTATCTGCATTGTTTTTATGTCTATATTCTGATTTACCTCATTTTGTATATTGCTTTGTGTGTTGTCTGTTGTTTTGTCTGTACAGCACTTTGGTTGGCCTTGTCGCTGTTTTAAGTGCTCTATAAATAAAATGGTATGGTATGGTATGATGTGACTTACAGGGTGGTGCGACGTGTACGGCGGAAAATACGGTAAACTGTTTTCCCCACTAAGCACTAAAGGAGTGTACTGCTTAGTGGGGAAAACAGTTTACTTGGGACTACTCAGACTGATGAAGCCCTCTGGATAGAGGGTGAAATGTCTTTCCACAAAAAAGAAACTATCTAGTTACTTAATGACAATAACTGCTGGATGTCCGGCCCCTGAGCTTATGGCTTTTAGTAACTGTGGCCCCCTGAGCAGTTTAGCTGAATAAATGATAAATGTACGGTACTTATATAGCGCCTTTCTATCTGATCAAGACACTCAAAGCGCTTTACACAATCTGTCCCTCATTTACCCATTCATACAGCACTACTAGATCTCTACAAAGCTAATTGAACAAATAATTCTAAAGACACTAATCAGAGTTTTATCACATTCATACACCGATGGGACACACATCAGAGGCGATGAGGGGTTCAGTGTCTTGCCCATGGACACTTCGGCATGTGACTGATGGTAGATTCAAACCCCCAACTCATGCATTGGAGGATGACTGCTCTTACCACTCAGCTAAAAGCCCTGAGTTAGACCATTCACTAGAGAATCATGAGTGAGAGAGGTAGTTGCCATGAAGACCTGTGGGGTTCACTCTTGTCTGTGTGTTGAACAGTAAGATCGAGTGTAGAAAACTCCACCTGGTGGTTGATTCTTGATCTACAACAAGAGCTGCACATCTCTCTCTGTAGCAGTGTGCTGTCATGCTTCAGTATTTAATTAAATTTAAAAATCTTTGTGTAAATATCTCATGTTACAAAGTGTACACCCGTGGCCTATAGACGAGTGTGGCCTATATATTTACAAAATAATTTCTTGTTAAATTTAGTGGGTGTAGCTCAATAGTCAGGAGCGCTCAATAGTCCAGAAATTATGGTAGATAATAGTCTACAAAGCACTGAATATGACTAAATAAATAGCTAAAATATGAACTGTTTGAGAATTTTCCGAATGAAAAACACATTAATTGTGCACATCAACTTCAGATGAAATTAAATAATTGTGAAGATAAAAAAGGAACAAAGCGTTAGGAGTTGTACTGGAAAACTCTTCTGTTCAATATGCTGCATTCATAAGTTTAGAAAAGTTCTTGGGTTTGTTACCTGTGCAGAGAAAGTGCAACCAAGTCAGCTTCCTCCCACTGAAGTGCTGATTATAAAACCGCTCAAACTGAAAAGGAGAAGATGAAGTGTTACTTCGTGACGTTTCAGAATCACTTTGCTACAGATCAGTGGTTCCTCACCATCTGCACGCTCTTTTCTAATTCTTGAGGAATGGCAAACGTGGATGAAGGGACGTGAGTCAAAGGCCAAGCTCCAGCCTGCAAAATGACACAAAATATAAATGTCAGGAGCTAATCCTGAAGACGAGACAAAGATAACACTGAAGCCCTATCACTGACGGAGTTCAACAGTGAACGTTTGTAGCTTGTCAGATGGGTTTTTCTGAAGATCAGAAAAAACTGTGTCTACCACAGATGGGACAAAACGTCTCCAAGAGCTCTGAGTTAAAATTAAACAGGAAGTGCAAGTGAACATTTTGGTGCAAGATATTCGAGAGGGTAGGAGTTACGCCGTGTAGAAGAACAGAGCGAGTGGTGAATCCTGACACCTCCCTCACTCATGGTTACACTACTGAATGACCCAACACAAACTAACACATAATGAACACATGAACTAGGCTAAGAACAGACTAATCACTAAAAGAACAATGATAAACAGATAACCAAAATGAATAGTAATGAACGGAAATTCAACCCATAATCTCTCCCTGAATAGGGCTGTATACCGAACTGAGGTCCTTTTATGGCACCGACCGACGCGGATTGAAACGTCACTCTCTTTTCAGTGTCATGTTTCGGTATTGGCTGTAACGTGTCACGTGGTTTCAGCACGCAGGCAGGTAAAACACCAGACATATGACAAACAGACTACGTGTTTACACCCAGAGCTGTATAGAGCTGCCGTACAGCTCTATGTCAATGATGCTGGTTACGCCCACAGACGGGGTTCACGTGTGCAGCGCGTGTGGCGTCGAACGGCTTCAATTTACGAGCAGAAAGTTGTTCCATGTTTGTCTTCAAGGGGGACCGCAGCCTCCCCCCCTCCTCTCAGCGTTAAAGTCAGCCTGTGAGTGTAGAACGGCCTGATTCAACATTTCCACAGCCGGATTCTGCTTCGCTCCAAGGACGGAGCTGTGTCTGGGATTTCAGCTGGTAAGGTTATGTTAACGTTACTGCAGCTTAACACGTGCATCGCGGGGAGTTAAACTATGATCCATGTAACGCTAACTTTAAGATATTAGCGCATGGCTTTATTTTATGGCTAGCTATGTAGCTAGCTAAACTCAGACGCTAACTAAAGATTGACAGTAACAAATAAAGCTTGTAAAATTGTGCTCATCCATCCAGTCAGCTGGTTAAACAGTTCACCTAATGTTCGCTGTTTGTTTATGTTCTCCTCAAAGAATATTGTTGACCAGTTAAGCCTTTATCTCTCAGCCTAGATAATGGTTTGTGAGCAATAAGAGCACAACCATGTTATTGTTGATGTTTTATGTTCTCATGTCAATTAGGGAAATGATTAGAGTCCTAAACCCCGGAGAACCACAGAGAAGATTCAGGCAGAGACACAGAGGTACAGAAGTCTATATCAACCCTAACCTCAGTGAATCCAGTGACCTGCTGGTGGAATGTGAGGGACAATATGTCAGTGCTATCAAACTGACAACCAGGTATCTGTTTGTGCAACAAGCATCATCCACACCCTCAGAGTGAACATTTTCTACTGCTGGAGACACCATCAGCCAGGAGCGGGCTTGTTTGTGTCCAGAGAAAGCAGACATGTTGATGTTTCTGAAGAAAAACTGTTAAGTGAAAAGGTCCTCAGTGTGAAGCAGTGAGCATTAGACACTGACGTGTCACTGGTTTGAAACTGTTCTTTTGAACTGGAAATTATTTGTTTATTTTCATGTAAGAAAACTGCTTGGAATAGAAATACCAAAGTTAAAAAAATAAAACACACAATATGTACTGTAATGTGTAACATAATTTTCTTCTTGTTAGAATTAATATTAATTACAAAATTGGTACCGAAAAAAGAACCGTCCAGGAACCGACACCGAAGTGAAGGTACCGACACCGGTACCAAATTTTTTAGAAAGGTACCCAGCCCTATCCCTGAAGCCACGTGACCAGCCGTCAACCACAGCAGAATGCTACAATACTGGTAACGTCCACAAACACGTACAGTAAATGTTTTTTATGAACAGTGACTGTAACGCAGCTGGTTAAAAAAAAATACAGCAGACTACCAGGAAGTCATTGATCGCCATCTTCATCTTCCTCCTGCTGAAAGCTGTCCTGCTAGCCTGAGCATGTGAGTCACATGCTCTGCACATGCAGGGGCATCCCCCTCCCTTCTTCTCCTCCCCTCCCCGTTACATTGGTTCGACTGTGACCTGTTCGGTCATTTAAATGGTCAGATTTTATTTAACCTTTATTCATACAGGTAGTCTCATCAATACACGTCTCTCATGGGGGGTGGGTTCTCATGACTCAATGAGACTGCATCACTGGTTCATTGTGGTTTGACTGCTGGTCACATGGCCTCAGGAAGGGATTATGGTTAGAATTTATGTTCATTGTTAATCAGTTTCAGTTAGCTGTTTAGCATTGTTCTTTTAGTGATTAGTCTGTTCATGTGTTCATTATGTGTTAGTTTGTGTTAGGACATTCAGTAGAGAAACCATAAGTGAGGGAGGTGTCATGAAGACCTGTGGGGTTCACTCTGTCTGTGTGTGTCAAGAGGACCCACCCCCCAAGAGAGATGTGTATCGGGCTGCTATGTGAGCCCCCGGGTGTGACGAGGCTAAATGTTTTTGGCAGCATGAAGCTCGTTAGCCTGTCAAAAAATAAAAATCCATAAATTAACTGCAGCTTTGTATAAGCCGCAGGGTTCAAAGACTGAAGAAAGTAGTGACTTATAGACCAGAAAGTACAGTAATGCACCCTCCTTTAGTGGAGAGTCCACTAAAGGAGGGTCCAAGCCCTCTGAGGAACTTGGACCCTCCTTTAGTGGAGAGTCCAAGTTCCTCAGGGGGCTTGCATCTATCTACTGGTTGGGGTGCTCACTGACCTGTAACACGTAGATCTGGAAACTGATCCCCAGGTCCACCACCGTCTCCTGCGTCTTGATAAAATTGTTGAACTTGTTGTTGAGGTCGGCGCTCACGCTCATGTCGGTGTACATTCTGTGAAGTTTGCTGGTGAACTCGTAGCCACAAGCTTGCTGCAGAGTTAAAGGGAGAATCCGTGTTTCACCAATAATACAACAAATGTAAGACATACTAAAATGTTCCTGAGTCACACAGGAAATGTAACAAACTTAAAAATTTTCAACTGAATGGCACTTTTAAAAAGTACAATTTCTTAAGACTTGGGTAGAAATATAATTATGTTTCACCTTTAGTTTGTTGATCATGGCTTCTTCTGAATCCATTGATAATGATAAACCATGTATTAACCGCTTTGCTAGCATTCTGGCATAAAACTATAAAAACAGAGTATTTTAGGACAAATGATACAAAAAACAGACAACTTTTTAAATTATTTTGTAAATTATAACAGCAATTGTGCGAGTACCTTTTGAAAGATGTCCTTGTCATCTATGTACTTAAAAACTGTGATAAAGCTGGTCAGCTTATCTTCCACCTCGTTTTCTGTCATTCCCTTTGCAGATTTTTTCAACAGGTTGTCGCAGTATTTTGCCAGCTGGACGGAGACACCAGGAGGGGAAGGATTTGGTCAAGACAGCGTGTTTAACACAAAACATCAGAGTTCTGGTGCGTGTGGACTCACAAGTTCAGGGGCTTTGCAGATGGACTTTGGCTCTCTGAAGTTCACAACAGACGTCAAAGCCTATGAGAGAAAACAGACAGAACTATTAGAAAAAACTTAAAATGTCAGCGGGCTGATGGCGAGACCATTTTTCTTCTGTACGTTTTTCAGCACGTAACTCTTTCAGCAGTTTTTATTCTATTTCAACAATTCATGCATCAAAACGTTCGGCTCATTCCTGCTGTCACTTTTGGTCTTGGTGCAGTTTTAACTTGTTGAAATATTTAGCTTTTTCAGCCATGTTTTTCATTCATTCAACCTTTACTTATACAGTTAGTCACACTGAAAATGAATGGAGCTCTTGATGTCCTTCAAACCATTTTCATTTCAGTGTTTTTGTTATTTTTCCAGCTTTATCTTCTTTTCCTGTTACTTTCAATTCAATTCAATTCAGTTTATTTATATAGTGCCAAGTCACAACAGACGTCATCTCAGGGCACTGAACAGAAACAATTACAACATACACATAACACAACATAACAATAACAATATACATTTAACAGACACTCCATCACAGAACTCTCATCTTGAGCAAGCATGAAGGTGACAGTGGAAAGGAAAAAACTCCCTCATGAGGAAAAAACCTTTAGCAGAAGAAATCTAGAGATGTTTCTGCTATTTTCTGAGCCAATTCCACTTTTTGTGCTTTTTTCAACACATTTCAACTTTTTATGCTCATTTCAACCTCTATCTGCTAATTTAAACTTTTTCAGCCACTTTTTTGCTCTTTTTGGATTTTTTGTAATCTATTCAGCCTCTCTACCCATTTCAGCTTTTTCTACACATTCTGCAAGTTTTCTGCTGCTTTCCACTTTTATTTTCCTGCTTTCATTAAATGTCAGCTGTTCAAATTCAACTCTCATTAACAGTTTAGTGAACAAACATTTCAAACCTGGTTTTAACTTCCTGAGCACCTGTCAGTAAAAATCTTTCACCACTGAACTTTCCCACTGCATTTTCACAGGAAATGTAATTTCTCTAGTTGTAACTTTTGTGCTTATCTAAATACAAGTTAAAGTTACAAAATGTACTTTAAAAGCTAAATTAATCAATTGGATGAATTTAATCTCCAGTTTTAGCTTCTCTCCAAGCTCCCTGTCAAATTCAGAACAGAATTCAAAATCTTACTTCTAACCAACAAAGCTCTCAACAACCTAGCTCCATCTTATATTACAGATCTTGTTGTTCCAAATTTTCCCAACAGAGCACTTCGCTCTCAGACTGCAGGTTTACTTGTGGTTCAATAGCTATGTTTACATGCGCAACATTTTTTGACCGGATTGAAACGTTTTCAGATTAAATAATTCAAATGTATTGTTTACATGGGCACAATCTGTTCATGACGAGCGTTTACATGCAGCGGGCTTTGTTCTGAACAGAAGTACTGACATGCGCAGAGTGGTAAACTCCCCTTAAAAAAAAAAACACAGAAGAAGAAGTTCTACTTCCGGGGTGAACGTAAACAAACCTGAGCACCCAAAATGGATCCGCGACAGGTTTTAATGATGGTGGAGACGTTACTGCACTCCCTGACTGAGCTACAGGTGATACAGATCATTTTGAGCTCTTTCAAAGTTTCTAGTAGAAATGTTGTGTCGCTCACCGACCAGTTTTGCTTCCCCGACATGCTAATATTATTAGCATTAGCCAGGCGGAAAGGGCAAAGTCGCACATGCGCAGTCAGGTCAGTTTTTCACGATCAGATAAAAACGAACAGATCAAGCGTTTACATGCACACCAATCGGGTTACAGATCGGCGTAAACCACCCGTTTCGTTCTGATCACAAATTATATCGGATCGCGCCGAATACACAAAAAATAACCCGAACGGAGTGTTTACATGACACACTTTTATTCCGATCGGCCATATGATCCGGTTACTTATGTCCATGTAAACATACCTATAGAGTTTCCAAAAGCAGAATGGGATGATGATCTTTCAGTTATCAGGCTCCTCTCTTGTGGAACCAACTTCCAGTTTCTGTCAGTGAGGCTGACACATTCTCCAGTTTTAAGACTGGACTTAAGACTTTCCTTTTTGATAAATTCTATAGTTAGGATTGGCTTGGGTTTCCTGAGCTGTCCCTTAGTTATGCTGCTATAGGCTTAGACTGCTGGAGGACAAACTGACCACATTTCTTCACTCTGCTGCTGTCTTTATTTACTCTACTCTACCTGTTTGTATTTGTGTGGGGCGGCTGTGGCTGAGTGGTTAGAGCAGTCGTCCTCCAATGCAAGAGTTGGGGGTTCGACTCTACCAGCAGTCACATGCCGAAGTGTCCATGGGCAAGACACTGAACCCCTCATCGCCTCCGATATGTGTCCCATCGGTGTATGAATGTGATAAAGCTCTGATTAGTCTCTTTAGAATGATTTGTTCAATTAGCTTTGCAGAGATCTAGTAGAGTGCTGTATGAATGGGTAAATGAGGACTGTAGTGTAAAGCGCTTTGAGTATCTTGAAATAAAATAGAGAGGCGCTATATAAGTACAGTCCAATTTACCATTTTGTCATTATTTCTATCAACATGTTTTTTTGCTGTCTTTCCTCCTATAGAAAGTTCACATGGACCTGTCCTTCTGTTTGTTTCTCCTTCCTGTCCTCTCAAACCCAGCTGGACAAAGCAGATGGCCGTTCATCCTGAGCCTGGTTCTGCTGGAGGTTTCTTCTTGTTAAAAGGAGTTTTTCTTTTCCACTGTCTCCTTTGTGCTTGCTCAGGATGGGAGACTGTGATGAAGTGAAGATTCAACGAGTCTGCTGCTTCCTTAGATAGAGAACTTTTACTAATTGTCTTTTTTAATGTATGTAAATGTTTTTTTACAGACCTGAGACAACTTGTGTTGTGATTTGGAGCAGTAGAAATAAAGTGAATTGAATTGAATACATTAGGAATGTTGTATTGGCCCTGGACTTGCGACCTGTCCAGGGAGTCCCCCGCCTCTCTCACAATGACACCTGGAGATAAATACTAGCTCCCCCCATGACCCGAAAAGGAAAGCAGGTCAAGAAATGGATGGCCAAACGAATGTTGCATAAATGAGGCTGCAGTACCTTATCGAGAGCACTCATGAAGTGCTGATCTCCATTTAGAACCGTGTTAATGAGCTGAACAAACTTGCTGTGAACTTCCAGAACTGACTCGACAAACAGAGTTGGCATCTAAAGTGGGGCATGAGAGACATTTTAGACAGGTGTCTACAGAGTTCCTAGCCACCATAGTTAAAATAAAAACAGCTGTGAATCCAGACAGTCTCACACATGGTTACATGACTAACGTTTTCCTGAGAGAGGTTACTGGTGCCTCTGATGCCCTCGTTGTTAATGTGGGCCTGCAGCTCTTGGATCATGTGAGGTAACCCACTTGACACAGCTCGCAACAACGTATACATGTTGGCCATGTCTGCACAAAAACAACAAAATCATCATCAGCTTCACTTAATACGGCTGCTGTATACAAATACTCCAAGTACATATCAGGAAGAGGCAATGTAAGGGAACAAAACAGACTGACCTTCTCTCTTCTCCTGCCGAATGATGTTCTGACACTCCCCATGCAAGAACTGCAGGTGATCTGCCACCATCCTCTGCTGGCATTCATGAATGACTTTGCTGTAAGAGCTGGGGTGCAGGTACTTCCGACATCGGACCTCTTCGTCTTTCAACCGTGCCAAAACCTGGAGGAAGATGCAAAAAGATGACAGTTCTGTTTGTCTGGAAGTCATGGGACATCGTTGTGAACCATAGCAACATGCAGATAATTTGATCAAAAAGCCTTCTGATGACAGGAAGAGTTTGGTCAGTTCAAAATTATGTGCAAAAGTTTGAAAGAATTAGCATCTTCTTGATAAGTGACATTAGCTTGAAGAAACAGAGTTTTTGTTTGACAGAACTGATGAGCCAACAGCTAGTCTGAACGCAGCTAAGATGATGTGGATTGGTCCTAGGTATGTGCGATATGGCATAAAATTTATATCACAATATGCATTGTGAAGGGTGGCAATAATATATATCACATGTTTTTTGTATAAAACTTGCAATAGGAATTTTTTTTATTTTAAAGCGTTGGGTGTCCTTTTGCCATAATTTATTTTCAAAACTGCTATGCCACAAAATAATATCAATGAAGAAAATTCCACTACTTGGTCTAAAGCAGAGGTGTCAAAATCACTTATAAAATGGGGCAAAAATTAAAACCTTTTTCAAACTAAGAGCCCATGTCAGAAACTACATTAACTCAAGTTAGATACCCAACATCTTTTCTGGGTCAGAGGTTCCTCAGCAAGAGTTTGATTGGTCTCATTTGACATTCTTTGTGGTGCATTTGACATCATATTCAAAGATTACTGAAAAAAATTCAAGTGACAAAAGTATTTTACATTTCTCATCATCTTGGGGGGCCAGATAAAACGTCAAAGAGGGCCACATTTGGCCTCCGGGCATTGAGTTTGACACCTGTGGTCTAGAGAGTTTTTAAATAATAAACAAATCAAGTATTAGGCTTCTTTCTTGTAGTGCAAAACAGTGCAAAATATATCAAATGTATCTAAAAAAGTTAAATCTGGTCCTCTGGACATTCAAAAAACAAACAAAGCAAAACAACAAAAAAATGTAGAAACGTTTCGTCTCTCATCCGAGAGACTTCCTCAGTCTGAGGTGCTGTATTCAGCACAGTCTCTTAAATAGCACCTTCTCAGAGTGGATCAACCAGTTTTGCGGCTAGAGCCATCAGTGTGCTAATGATCCATTGTTAGGCTGATGGTCCTTCTTGAGCATGTGATCAGCTGGTTTTGGTTGTCAGCAGCAAAACTGGTTGATCCACTCTGAGAAGGTCCTATTTAAGAGACTGAGCTGAATACAGCACCTCAGACTGAGGAAGTCTCTCGGATGAGAGACGAAACGTTTCTACATTTTTTTGTTGTTTTGCTTTGTTTGTTTTTTTTGTTTGTTTTTTGAATGTCCAGAGGACCAGATTTAACTTTTTTAGATTTTTCTACCTGGATTATTGAGCTTGCATCAGGATATATCATATGTAGTTTTAGCCATATGTTTTAAACAAAAAAAAATGTTGTTAACTCTTAACAGTTTACAGTCTTCTCACTTAAGAAATGAACAGCTACAGAGCAGCATTTTACACTGCAAACACTTCACCCTCCAAACCTCTAGTCTCCTTCCACTTTAAGGAGACCTGACACAAAATGGCGGCCACTTTCCTCTTTGGCTTTGACCAGAGTGTCTCGCAGTAAAATCACACAACACAGTGTTCTTTTCACAGATCAGAGAGCAGGTTTCTCTAAAGCTGACCAACACTTACTTTAACTTTCGAGAGGAAAAAAAAACTTGCAATGGAACACAGCGTTTTGTGCATGCGTCTGAATACGGCAACACTACGGCAAGCCGGTGTTACACCATATTCTGTGACCACCGTATGTATATTGTGATTGTAGGGGGCACAGTTGCATTTTTACATCAAACTATGCAACATCTGATAAACTATCATATTCTGTGACCGTCTACATTTCCATAATAGTCATGATCTTTGTGGGCAGATGTTAATTTTGTTAATGTTTATATAATAGTGTTTATCAGATATTGCAAAGTATGGTGTAAAAATGCAACAGCGCCCCCTATGGTCACAATATATGGTGGTCACAGAATATGGTGTAACACCGGTCCTAGTTAGCTTGTAGCTTTGCTACTTAGCTTTCGAAGAAAATACTTTAACGCCACTTACGCACAGTTTTCAACTAAAAAAAGTAACGATTAAATCTGACAACTCTGATTTTACATCAGATTCAGTATTAATGCAGTTAGCCGGTAGAATACAGATATCTATCATAGGCTAAATGTCTATAGTTTCTACCGTGTACCGTATATTTTGCGCATTCCTAATTGGTGCCATCTTAAAACAGCTCAGATATCAAAAGGTTCTTAGATCATGCAAATGCTTTTTATGAGCTTTCTACACTGCACACTATTTTTCAATAGACGCTTATTTATGTTGAAGTGCAGCAGTGACAAGGAGCACTTATGGGACATCCAGACATCACATCTGGCAGGAAATTGATAATTTTTCTACTATATTACCCAGAAAACATGAAATTAAAGGTTTTAATTAAAGTCTGACTGGTATGGAAATTTTGTCTGTCGCTGATACTGTTATCGTTATCGTTGATAGGCGATATAACTAAATAATTTTTAGCTTTGTCCACCCCAAGAATCTAAGAAAACAGTGAGTGGAGAGGGACTTGTTTATTTAGTGCAGCTGTTAGCAACCATGAAGTTAAGCCAATCAGATCCACACTTTAATGAGACCCACAGTAGGTTAACAAGGTCATAAAAACAGTCTTCCTAAAGTGCATTCACATTTTCTATTCTCCATTATTCACCATTAAAAACCAGCCACTATAGGGAGCACAAGCAAGTGTATCTCTTGTGCCGGTCTCAAGCACAGGTAAATGGTGAGGGTTGTGTCAGGAAAGACATCCGATGTAAAACGCTTTTGCCAAAACTATAATGCGAGTTCATCAAAGGGACACCACACCAGATCGGTCGCGGCCCGGGTAAACAACGACTTCCACCGGTGCCTTTGACAAACAAGGTGCCGGCAGAAATTGTGCTACTGCTAAGGCTCGCACAGACTCAGGCGGACCCCAGTCCGCGTGGAAACTGCGTGCACTGTCCACAGACTGTTGAGACTTCATACTCGAGCGCCCACCTTGAACGGCTGCAGACCAGCTCCGCAGGCAAGGGGCGTTTACCTTCGGGACAAATTGAATTCACCGACTGGTCATTTCTTGACATGCCTACTGGATTGATTGACAGGTTGCAAAAAGAAGCAAACAAAAAACGAGAGCTGTCAGCAAATGGCAGCGGTGTTCTGTATGTTGTTAATAAAAATTCTAAAAAAATTAAGAAAAACAGGGAGGGCTGGCCCTGCAGCCCACACATCAGACCAGCCCACCAGGAAATCTCCAGACCCTCCTGCAGCCACGCCGGACCTGATTTTAATTCGCTCGTGACAAATTCCTTCATTTCTCACAATTTCAGTCATGGTGTTAATGGAGGAGGAAGAGATCACTTGCCTCTTGGCAAAAAAAAAAAAAAAAAAAACTAAAGAAAAGGCCCGATCAGGGATGAAGAAGGGGAATTTAATTGTCACATACCAAACAGTCCGTCACCGAGCAGTTTATTGTGTAACACCGAGTTTGCGTACGTAAAAAATGATCTTTGTATGGACATATCCTACGGACGGCCGCTTCGAGTCTAATCCGGTAAGCGCAGACCTCTGCGGACTGAGGTCTGCCCGACTATGTGGGAGCCTTTAGTCAAAGACCACAAGGAGGGAAATGTGTCAGGAGACAGAGGGAGAAGAAGAAATTTAGAGAGGACATAGAGGTAGTTGGAGTGAGGACAGAGGATGAAGAGGACAGAGTGAGATGGAGGAAGATCTTTCAGTTATCAGGCTCCTCTCTTGTGGAACCAACTTCCAGTTTCTGTCCGTGAGGCTGACACATTGTCCAGTTTTAACTGGGCTTAAGACTTTCCTTTTTGATAAATCCTATAGTTAGGGTTGTCTTATACTGCTATAGGCTCACTTCTAGAGGACAAATTGACCTCATTTCCTTACATGAATTGTTAAAATTGAATAGTTTTCATTTTATACTATTTCTATCTTAACATGTGATTCTTCATCTGCAATTGTGTATCTGTTCCTACCAAACCCAGCTGGTCAAAGCAGATGGCTGCTGGTCCTCAGCCTGGTTCTGCTAAAGGTTTTTTCACATGAGGGAGTTTTTCCTTTCTACTGTCTCCTTTAGGCTTGCTCAGGATGAGAGACTACAATGAAGTGAAGATTCAACACAATTTGTTGCTTCCTTAATTCAGTGGTTCTCAAACTGGGGTCCCCGGGCCTCCAGGGATCCACAAAAATATAATAATATATATAATAATATATATTAGGGGTGTAACGGTACATGTGGGTGTATTGAACCGTTTCGGTACAGCATGTTCGGTTTGGACCATGTGCATACTGTTTCGGTTATTTTTACCCTCTTTAAATTTTATTAACGAGAGATTATGCACTGCGGAACTAAAGTTCCTAAGTGTGTTTCAGCACTGTGCTATAGTCTTGCAGCACGCGCAGTATTAGCAGCCTAGCAACTTGTTGCGGTCTCCTGTTTGGGGACATTATGGCTTTCTTGTTAAAAGACAAGTGAACAAATCCAAAGCTGTGTGTCGACGTTGTTTCACGGAGATTGGATCTGCAGCAGCAACACGTCTAACTTGTTAACGCACTTGAAACGACATCATCCGAACATGAACGTCTCTTCTACAGAATAGCAGCTTGTTGCAAAGACCGATAACAGCAGCATTTAAGTCAGAGTCAGGGATTCTTTATTGTCATTCCACCACATGTGGTACATGTGGTGGAACGAAATTATGTACACAGGGTCCCAGTTACATCCAACAATAAAATGTAAAAGAAAAACAATAACATCCAAGATATGAACTAAGAAAAACATCAACTAAAAATACACTAAGCACTGATAGCACAAAAACATTACATTGAACAGCAGCACAAACATGAGCATGAGTCTGTGTGAGCAGATGAGCATGCATGAACACATCAACATGAAACAGATCAGCAGCAACATGATGTGATTTTTCACAGTGA